TATCCCACAAAATATTAGCAAATAAATTATTATAATAAATTAAATTAAAAAGTTCTTGAAATAATCATTAAAAGTTACTACATGTAAAAGTTTTTATTTATTAAGTACTAATAAAATTATATTAAGCAACATTAAAGCTGAGAATATAAAGCATTATATGTGAAGTATTCAGACATATTTAATTAAAATTGAGTGAATAAATAATGATTGAATTCTAGAGAATAATTTTTGAACATCCAGTGTTCAACCGTTGATATTAAATTCAATTTGTAAGTAAAAATTTTAAAAACTTCAAAAATAATGCTCCTTATTCTTGTCTATAAGATTAATTAATAATATGTTTGATAGTTTATTAGTAAATAATAAACTTTTATATGTAAAAACTTTTGATAATTATTTTCAGATTTTTAAAATATATCAATGTCGATCATTTTATCTTTGATATTTTTTAAAAAATCTGAAAAAAATTTCAAAAATTATTATCGAAAGTTATTATATATAGAACTTCATAATTTACTAATAAACTATTAAATATGTTATTAATTAATCTTATAGTAAAGAATGAGGAGTATCTTTTATGAAGTTTTTAGATTTTTTATTAACAAATTAAATTTAATATCAACAGTTGAACACTGAACGTTCAAAAATTATTCTCTAGAATTAAATCATTATTTATTCACTCAATTTTAATTAAATATGTCTGAATACTTTATATATAATACATTGTATTCTCAGCTTTAATATTACTTAGTACTACTTTTGTTATTAAATTAATAAATAATAAAGTCTTATATGTGTAAACAATTGATAATTATTTTTGAATTATTTTCTTATTTTTTAAATTTTTTAATAAATTTTAGTCATTTTTATTCACATCTAATTAAAGTCAAAATTTTCACTAGATACTATAAAAAATGCTTTTAATTAATATTGTGAATACTGTTCTTGGCTATTATTCCATATAAGATAGTTAATATTTATCTTTAAAATCTATCGAATGTGATATGAGTAACATTTAAAGATTAAATTTTTTATTTTTTGTCAATTTTGTTTGAAGCGTAATTTCTCTATGCATAGACATTTAATTTTAACACAAAATATATTATATGATAGTCCTAGTTTAGAGAAATCTAATAAAAAAAAATTTGTGCAATTTAGATCATCCGTTGTATCACAATTAATATTTTAATTTTAGAATTTTAGTAATTTTTTTATTAATTTTTGTTTGTCCCATGACTTTTGATATCCCACTGTACATATATATGAAATTGTATTTATATAATATATGTTATCTAAAGTTATATATATAAATTTAAATATATTCAAAAAATGTATAAAAATGTATCTGGATAAATTTAAATAGATATATGCGAATATATTTGAAAAATATATCTGAATAAATTCAAATTACACAGATATATGTGAATATATTTGAAAAATGTATCTGGATAAATTCAAATACATGAATATATATACAAATATATTTGAAAAATGGATTCGGATAAATTCAAATATACAAATATATACGAATATATTTGAAAAATGTATTTGAATAAATTCAAATAAATGAATATATGTAAATATATTTATATATTTATTCAGATAAATTCGAATAATTAATGTAGATAAATGCGTGAGTGGTCAAATATATCCGAATATATTCAGTTCAAATATATTCAGATATATTTGCTCCAAAAATTTCCTAATGAAAAATGATAATATTTGTAAAATTTTGTACATAAAGATATCAAAATTAATAACCTTCGAAAGTTATCAATATGAATTTATTACGAAAACAATAATATTCATAAAATTTCATACATGAAAATATCAAAATCAATAATCTTTAAAGGTTATCGATATGAATTTACTATGAAAACGATAATATTTGCAAAATTTCATCATGTGAAAATATCAAAATTAATAATTTTCAAAGGTTAGTGAAGACCTTCGAAGGATAACATATTGAAAAACAGTAAAATACTTATGTTAATGTTAACTTTCGAAAGTTTTTACTAGAAAAAATTTCCTGATGTAAAATTCAAGAATGATCTAAGTTTTATTAAATTGGTAAAATTTAATCATTTTTTTATTATTTCCATTTTTCATTTATCAATATTTAGAGATGTAATGATCAAGATATTCAACTTTGTTTTTTAAAAATTCATATTTTTTTTAATTTTGTGTATAGTTGATATTCTCTAAGTTTGAATAATATTTTATATAAATATTTCAAATGTTTTTCTTTGGTCTTGCTGTATATAAGAATATCATCAAGGTATATGATTATAAATTCATTAAGATATTTATAAAAAATATTATTCATAAAAGTTATAAATGTTACAGGAGCATTTGTTAATTCAAAAAGTAGTATCATTTTAATATGAAATTTCTACAGAACTTTTTGTTTATGTTTTCTTAGTTTAGATAGTCCATATATATTTTGTCACTTCGATCTTTACTATGCAGATTCATAGTTCGATTTTCTTGACTCTGCTGTAACTCTATGGCTTAACTCTGCTGTGGTTCTATGGTTTGATATAGCTATGACAAATTTTGCTGTGATAGTTGTATCATTATGCATTTTCATTTGTGATATTTTTCACACTGTTTAGCAAGACATGTATCACATTGTTCACATTTTCAAGTACTATTACTGTAAATAAATTTGTCTTCCATATTAGACATGTAATTAAAAAGGTTTCACAATATTTTTTTATAATTTATACATATGAGTATTGCTACAATGTGACATATTAATTGTATTATAATCAATTTTTATTATAATTTATTTTTAATTATATATTTACTGTTAATTACTATAACAATTATTATTACATTACTATAATTATTTTAATAAGAAATATTACATTACTATAATTATTTTAATAAGAAATATTACATTACTATAATTATTTTAATAAAAATAAAGGTTTTTATTAAATAAACTGTTAATTGGTTAAATTTTGCTCTGAACTTATAACAGTTTCTGTTTCCTAGTATAGGATGCAATAGGACAGTCAATTGTTACTGATTTCTAGTAGATATATAGTATAAGAATCACTATTTGGTACAGTGATTCTTTTGTATTTGACTAGTGTTATTTGCAATCATATGGGAGGTGACTATAAAGAGATCTGACTGTACATCAAATGCATGTCTTTGATATATTACAATGTGTCCATGATTTGAATTAACTCTATAATATATCATAGGTAGATATATAATAAAGGCAGATAAATTTATACTAAAAATTTTAATTATTCAATATATAATAGATATATTTGTAAATGAAAAAATAATATATATTATAATTGGATTATTTGATATGTGTTAATATTCTTCTTTTTAAAATTTCAATATATTAATACTTAATAAATTTTCATCTGTAAAATTACAAAAATAATATAAAAAAAATATTTTCTGTTCTTTGGCAAATATAAAAAATAAAGGTATTCTTTTTTAATTAAATAATAGATAACTTACTATGTAAATGTCTAGTATAAACATTACAGATAACATTAAGATATTTCATTTACAAACCAAAATCAAATACAAGAGTCATGTTTTTTTAAAATTCTCTTATTGAGTATAGGATATGTAATGATACTGTAGGAATTATAAATGCTTACTATTCGAGAATCTAAAATTGGCATAATTGTTATTAACAAATCCAATATCCTCTACAAAACTCTTTAACTTTAATGGTTCATAAAATACAAGGTTTAACCTTACCTTAGATGGAAACATTTGACAGGCATCACTCTTAGTATTTCTTATCTAAATTGTTAAGCATTTGTGACTGATCAAAATTAATTCTGGAATATTAGACTGACTTAAATTTATCTAATAATTATGTAACATTTGCTTTACCTTTATTTTAAAACAAAGCGGATCTATTATGATTTTTAAATGTTCAAAAATTAAATATTCTTCTTTTATATATTTTAACTAAAGCTCTTAGGGCTGGTGAGCCTATCATTAACCAAACCATTTATGCATCAAGGAAGGAAAAAGAAAAAATTGATTTTCATAACACATAATCACATACATTTACTGTATTTATTTACAAAAATATATATATATATATATATATATATATAAAAATATATATGTGAATATTCAGCTATACACACAAAAAAAGACATATTTCAAAAAAAAAAAATGAAGATATAATAGTAAAAGATAGGAAATTGGATAGTTTCAGTGGTGATTTGGGGTTGGTTAAGTTAAAAAAAATAAAGTTATTTGTTATGAACAAATGAAAAAAAGTACAAAAAAAAAAAAAAATAAATTGGTTGCCCACCAATATGTACGATGATTCGAAATAAAAATTAAACAAAATATTTACTAATAAAATAGAAAAAATGTAAAGAAATGCAAAGAATACTAATTGGATACCGCTCGATGTTAAACATTTTACATGAGCGTTTAATTATGTGCATCCAAGAGTATTGCCTTATTTGTAAAAAAAAATATTTTGATCCATATGTATAAAACTATATTCCTATTTCATATTTTTCACTAGCGAAAAATTAATCCTTCTAATTTCTCGCAGGTGAAATTATAAATCTTACAATTTGAAGAAACCGCTTAAGCGAATTATAGTGGATGTGTGCTATGTACAATTTTCTGGTGGATTTTTTATACACCCAAAAATAAAAAATAAAATAAGGGTTTGGAGAGATTTACAAATAAAATAAATGAAAATATATATAAAAACCATACTCTTACACATAAAAAATAAAATAAATATAAATATATATAATTACAATGAAATATATATAAATATAATTTACGAAAGAAATATTATATACTAATCAAAAAATATATTGAAAAGCATTGGAAAAAATCATATAGATGAAGGGTAAGAAATTGAGAAGAAAAATCAATCAAAAAAAAAAAAAAAACTTAATTGATTTTACTTGTTATTTAATGACCTACCCATATATCAAAATATTATATCCTATATATAAAGAAATAAAGCTGTTAGAATTAATTTATCCAACAACTTGATCATTTGAGTTGCCATATAAGTGCATGAATCCAATTTCTTCGGTCATAACTGAATTAGTGCCAACTTCAGAAGTTGGTAAAGGATTCCAATGAGTAACACCAATGGAACCAGAATCTGTCACTTTTAATTCGGTGGTATCAACGATTGGCAATTTAGTTGACTTCAAATCCAATCCTAAATTCCACATCGGACGATCTTTCAATGTGGGCCAACCTGTTGAATCAAGACTATGGCCTCGAAGTAATTCTGGTGCACTGTGAACATTAGAATCATGTGCTTGACTGGTATTTAACATCGTGTGCAAATTAAATGTAAATGGAGGTTGACTGGTTGTCATATTTGTCATGTTTGTTCCCAATTCTTGATTGTGAAATCCAGAGACATTAGTTGTATTGTATTTGTTGATAGGTTCCGAAAATCGACGCTTGACCTAATTAATAATTAAATCAATTAAATATTATATTCGGATTTATTTATATTTAAAATTATCATACAAAAAATTTTTATTCAGCTTTAATATTATCTTACTTGAGTAGGAACGGCCAAAAATTGTGACATGTTAGAATCATTACACAATGTTTCATCTTCAATAATAGTTGAAAGGGATCGTTTTTCTTCGGGTGTCCCCAGCTTCATGTTGAGAATCGATGCCATCAACTCTGGACATGAATTACGGCGGGCGTTGGCATAAGCAGGATTAATAGTTTCGTTGTTATCAATCGCTTCTTTATCACTGATTACAGAACTAACTGTAGGGCTGTAATTGTATTCGGGAAAGTAATCCGAAATTGTAACGGCTGAAACGGCTGATTGAGGTGTAGACAGAGGGATAAGATTGTCCATTTGTTCATAAACATACTCGGATGCTACAGTCGATGCCGAAGAAACATTTGAGTGCATCCATTCTCCGTCATCCCGTTGAACATTGGTTGATTTTTGAAGGAGTTGATGAAGTTGTCTGCGTTGGACCATTAGTTCATATTCTTCTTGGGTTTCCCAACTAGTTTTGAGAGGATCGATGTTTGGCTTTTGGCGAGATCTCTTTGACGATTGATCATTTTCTGTCTCGTGTGCAAGAATTTCATTGCCAGGTTTTTGTTCCACGAGAAATGTTTCATTTGGATTTCCTTCAAATCCGCAGTAAACTTCGTTAGGACTATTAACATTGCTATCTGCCAATGCTGAATCACTGATACAATCAATTGATGCATCACTCTCAATACCTTCCTGCCCAACATTCTCTGTGGAAGCGGTTACCGACGAGTCTGCTGTGGAAAAGAAAGTTTCCAAAGAGTCGGTTGGACTGGATACGGCCAACCCTTCAGAGTTACTCTCAGAAGATGGATTGTCGTCGATGGTCTTTTGTTTTTTTGCCTTTGCACGTCTGTTTTGAAACCAGACCTGCACTCCACGAGGTGTCATATTTAATTTTTGAGCTAAAGCTTGACGAACAGCAGCATGTGGTTTCGGATTTTCATTGAAAGCCTTTTCGAGAACTTTCAACTGTTGACGAGAAGTACGACGTCTGTGTTTCACTTCGAACGGGTTGTAAAAAGTAGGTTTGAATTCGCCGTGAGGTGACTGATGAAAAGCATCGAACATTTGTGGAGCTGGATGAACTTGTCGTTCTTGCGTTGTCGTCGCTCCTATCGCCTCAGGCAAATTTGACTCGTTATAGTTCATTTTTTTTTGTTTCAGTAGTTTATTTCCAAAATAGCTTTTTTAATGATAGATAAAACGACTTGCACTTTTTATAAGATAAACTTTCAAAAAGAAGACGTATCAAAAGGAGACAGGTAATTGTCTCAATCTAAAGAGAAAGTTCAAGATACTAGTCGCATAAATAAAACATTAAAAAACGATCGGGTCAATGACTGAGCGAAAGCAGAAAAAAAAGGAGGGCCGGAACAAGCCACACACAAAGGAGTAAATTTGATTGGCAGCTGTCGGAAGATGCAGAGAAAAATTAGGGAGATATTACACGACTTTCCAATTTAATTGTTGATTCGCATGTATTTCTAAAATAAAATACGGCGCAGTAATAATGTGCGTGTTAAACTACCTTCTAAATAATTAAAATTACTATCACATGATAGCTACAATAGGAACTCATGGAAAAAAGAATTATTAGAATAGGTATTCTCCTTGCCGGCACTCTTCCTCCACAAATTGTTAAACAATATGGAAATTATGAAGCCCAATTTAATAGACTTTTGAAAAAAGCCATAGAAATTGGAAATAAAAATATAATTTTGGAGGTCAAAGGTTATGAAATTCAAAAGTTAGAGTTTCCAAATAGCGAAGAACTGTTGGAATTGGATGGTTTGATTATTTCTGGTTCTGGTATAATGGGAGAATTTATGGATTTGCAAAAATGTACACTGTTTTAAACCACAAAATTTTAAGAAACTTATACTTTATTTAATATCAAGTCTTTTCAGCATATGAAGATATTCCCTGGATAAATCGACTAGTCAATTTCACGAAATTCATCATTGAGGAACATATTAAAGTTAAACTAATTGGAGTTTGCTTCGGACACCAGATTGTCGCCAGAGCTATGGGAGGACAAGTCGTTAAAAATCCTATGGGTTGGGAGGTAAGTTAGGTTGGACAATATTTTAATGATCAAATTTTTTATTTTATTTTTATTAAGAAATATATATTATTAGGTTGCGGTAACTGAAGTTTTAGTAACTAAAGCTGGGAAAAAATTCTTCAATACAAACAAGGAATTTTTGGTGAATTGAGAAAATTTAGAAAATATTATTTAAAATATGATTTATTTATTTATTCATTTATTTAATAAATAATAATTTACAATGATTTTATATTTCAAAAGCGCGTTCAAGAAATGCATCAAGTATAAAAATTTATTAAAGTAATCTTTTTGTTTTTTTTTTTGTAATAAAATTAATTATATATATACATTTTTAAATATTATTCTGTTTATTTTATTTAGGATCATGTTTCTCTCATTCCTCCAAACTTCATTAATCTAGGGTATACAGAAAAATCACCTGTTCAAGGAATGCTAAAGGAAAATCACGTTTTCACCATTCAAGGTCACCCCGAATTTGTTAATGAGATGGTTAGAGAAATGATACAATTTCGATACGAAATTGGAATATTTGATTCAGATTCTGCTCAAATGTATTTAAAAAATGCAGACCTTGATGACGATAATATATTGATCGGTCAAAAATTCATAGAATTTCTTACTAGTAAATAATTCCCTATTTATTTATTTATAATTGTAATACAGAGGCAATATTTCAATATTTTACACTTCTGATAATTTTAAAGAATAAAATCAGTATCAAATTTATTTATTTTTTATTATCTTTGATCCATTTATATATTATAAATTTACAATTTAAAAAAATTTAAAAAGAATATATTTTTATTCTTTTAATGATTTTCTTCGATTTTAGCTAAAATTTCAGTGTCCCTAAATATGGTATACTCCTAAAAAAAAAATGAAGAAAATTGATTAAATTATTAAATAAATAAATATAAATATAAATATATATATATATATTAATTAAAGTTTAATATAACTTTATTAAAGTTACCTCATCGCCAACTTTAATAGTACTTCCACCATATGAAGGGAGAAGTACATGGTCTCCAGGTTTAACTTGGTTTGGAATGTGTTTTCCGTCCTAAGTCATCCACGTGAAAGATACAAATACGCGTCATTAAATTACTTTGAAATAAGTAAATTTCATAAGGATTTATATACCTTATTCAATGATCCTTTCCCCACAGATATCACTTCGCCTTCATTCAAAGCTTCTAATGATTTCTCTGGGATCAAAATACCAGAGGATGTTTTCTAATAGTTGTTCTAAATTAGTGTACTTGTAATTTTTATAATTTACTTGCGAGTCTTTAATTAAAGTGCATAAATTATAATAAACCTGTTGTGCTTTAATACGTTGAACGAGAACGCGATCGAGGAGTGGAACAATACTTTTAACATTTTTTGTGACGATAGACTGTAATAAATATCAAAAGGTACCATTTAGGTCTGTTTAAAATTTATTCATTTAATATTCATTAAACGCGTACCATTGTTAATTCAATATTATTCAGCTCGTCAGGTGGTCCTCAAATCACTAAATTTTCGAAATTTGAAAGGGAAAAAGGTTTACGCAATTATTTAAAAAGCTTCTTACCAAAAAATTTTTTAAATTATCGGATAAAATCTAAAACTTATCCAATCAGCAATATTTTTTTTTTCTCTTTTTTTTTTTTTTTTGATAGAAAATCTAAGAAAGATGAAGAATATTCTATTATTTTCTTGAAAAAAAAAAAAAAAAAAAAATTTTTTTTTCAATCTGGCCAATAAAAAAGCGAGATCAAAAGTTAGATATTATAAATTGTCATCTCATTTTCCATCCTTTTACTTCAAAAAGTTATCATAATGCACCGTGCTTCATTATTTTTTAACAAGTCTTCACTTGCTCAATTTCCAACACGTCTAGCCATAACGTCTAAAAATGCTAGGAAAACTATGTTATCACGTTATTATGCTACTCACAAAGAACTTAAATTTGGCGTTGAGGGACGTGCTTCCTTATTGCAAGGCGTTGATATACTTGCTAAAGCAGTTGCCATTACATTAGGGCCTAAAGGGCGCAACGTGATAATCGAACAATCTTACGGAAGTCCAAAAATCACAAAAGACGGTGTCACGGTCGCTAAAAGTATAACACTTCAAGATAAATTTGAGAATCTTGGGGCCAGGTGTTTAAAATTCATATAATTCCAATAAATTCCGAAAACTTTATTAAAAATTAAAATTAAAATATTGGTTGACAAAAATATTTAATGGTTTATACGCGTTTATGTCGCGTAAATAATTGATTATATATATATATTCCACAGATTGGTTCAAGACGTCGCAAACAAAACAAACGAAGTGGCAGGAGATGGTACAACTACAGCTACAGTTCTCACTCGCGCAATTTTCGTCGAAGGCGTTAAAAATGTTGCAGCAGGTTGTAATCCAATGGATCTTCGTCGAGGTGTTCAATTAGCCGTTGATGCAATTGTTAAATTCTTGAGGGAAAAAAGTCGTGTAATTACCACAAGTGAAGAAATTGCCCAGGTATTGATAAAATTCAGAATTTTATAAATTTTTTCATAAAACTATCCATATTCGTATCCGTATCCGAAGTTCTATTGTTTATTATTTAGGTTGCTACAATTTCAGCTAATGGCGATACTCATGTTGGTCAACTCATTGCTAATGCTATGGAAAAAGTTGGAAAGGAAGGAGTCATTACCGTAAAGGAAGGAAAGACTATCGATGATGAACTTGAAATAACTGAAGGAATGAAATTTGATCGCGGATATATCTCACCATATTTTATAACCGATGCAAAAGCTCAAAAGGTTGAACTCGAAAAACCCTTGATCGTTTTGTCCGAAAAAAAAATTTCTGTTTTACAAGATATCCTTCCAGCTTTGGAATCTTCAGCTCAACAACGCAGACCACTTCTGATTATCGCTGAAGACATTGAAGGAGAAGCTTTGGCTGCATGCATATTAAATAAATTACGCGGCAATATTCAAGTCGCTGCTGTCAAAGCCCCGGGTTTTGGAGATAATCGAAAATCTATTTTGGGTGATTTGGCTATTTTAACGGGAAGCACAGTTTTTTCTGATGAGTTGGATATTAAACTTGAACGAGCAACACCAGATTTATTCGGAACAACAGGATCGGTTGTAATTACCAAAGAAGATACCATCCTTCTTAACGGAGAAGGTTCTAAGGATCAGATTAATCATCGGTGTGAACAAATCCGCGCTACCATCAATGACCCATCCACATCAGATTATGAAAAAGAAAAACTTCAAGAGCGTCTTGCTAAATTATCAGGAGGAGTTGCAGTAATTAAAGTGGGAGGCGCATCAGAAGTTGAAGTTAGTGAGAAAAAGGATCGATTCGTTGACGCCTTAAATGCCACACGTGCAGCGGTTGAAGAAGGCATTGTTCCTGGAGGTGGTATAGCGCTCTTGAAATCTATCAAGTGCTTAGATTCATTTAAAACCAACAATTTCGATCAACAATTAGGTGTAAGTATTATTAAATCGGCACTCCAAAAACCAGCACGAACAATTGTTGATAATGCTGGAGAAGAAGGTGCAGTCATTGTAGGAAAATTGTTAGAAGATCATATAAACGATTTTAATTACGGTTATGATGCAGCCACTGGTGAATATGGAGACTTGATTTCTCGTGGTATTGTAGACCCATTGAAGGTTGTTAGAACAGCACTTATTGATGCTTCTGGAGTAGCAAGTTTATTAACGACAACAGAGTGTATGATCACGGAAGCTCCTGGTTAGTATGTTTTTTATTCACAATAATTTAAATTATTGATTTTCCTTAAACTAAATTAATTTTTTCATAATTCTCTAGAAGAAAATAAAGGTGTTGGCGCAGGTGGTATGGGAGGTATGGGAGGTATGGGAGGTATGGGAGGTGGAGGAATGATGTAAAAGTAAATTTAGTAAATTTTTAGATGTGTTCAAAAAAATATATATAAATTTCAAAAGTACAAATACGTCAGACTTTATTATATTTTAGAAAAAGTGTAATTCACTTATAATTATTAGAAAAAAAAAAACAATCACATTTATTATGTAATGAATATAGTTCACTAATTCGAAATAAATGATTATTTAATTCGGATACTATATATAAAAAAAAAACCACACGAACGAAAACATTAGGCAATAATCGTTGTGTTAAAAAGTCTTAATATGAAAATAAATTATTTTTACATAATTATTAACAGTTAATTATTTTTTAGATTATGTTACTGCAGTCCCTTTTTATAGTTAAAGTGAGACCACAAATGAAGTTGGGTATTACTTTTTTCTTTGAAATTAAGAATCAGCATTTTGGTTTTGATAATATATATATAAAAAAAAAAAGAGAAGATTTTGAAGATAAAAAATAATAATATCTGTTATAAAACTACTAATAAGTATGGCTTAACAAACCTACAAAAAAGCTTTATAATAGATGCATTTTAAAAATGATATTAAGTAATGTTACAATGCTTTAGTAGTAATGATTATCTTAGGTCTAGAAACTTAGTTCAAACCTTTGTGAACTCGTAAGCCCCGAAAACAAGGATTGTGAATTATTTTGGAAATTTAGTCTGCAATTATTTAAATTATTTACAATAATATTGTGAAATATTTTAATATAATATCCAAATTTTTTTATTATATATAATATACTATGAATCAATCGTATCCCTATGACAATCCTTCCCATGAACTGTATTCCAGGTACTTTTGTGCCAAATTGATTATATTTATATATTTATATTATATTTATATTATATTTATATATTTATATTATATTTATATTATATTTATATTATATTTATATTGTATTTTTTATAAAATTTTAAAATAAATATGAGATATTCAAAGTCATTTATCTAATTTTTTTTCGGATTACCTTTTAATTTTAATCATTTTCAATTCATAGATCCGAAAACTCGATTGTGCCGGCAAATGCTTGGCCCACATTCTTCATATTCAGCTTTTGAGTGACAATATGAATAAAATTCACCCTATAATAACCAATAATTTTCGTGACATAAAATATAATATAAAATGTAGTAGTAAATATGGCATAAAATATTTGAAACTTACCATATTAGCAATTAATGAACCACCAAACCAAACAGCATATCGTTGCTTTTTGTGAGAGACAACGTTTACATCAATAGGTTTTGACTACACATTTTATATATTATATAATGTATGTAAATAAATTATTTCAGTAATTATCATAAATTATTTATAAAATATATTCTCTATTAAAAGTTTTGTACCTTTATTAAACCGCCACTTAATTCTTCACTTTTTTTAATACGACCATCAACTTCCCGCTTAATGTCTCGTTGAAGGCGTTTACCAAAATCTTTAAACATTGTTGATCCACCTGAAAGTACAATATTCTAAAATACAAAATCAAACAATTCAGTAATATCTCATTGAAAAACGTTTATTAAAAAAAAAAAAAACCTTTAAACATGTTTGATCCATCAGAAAGTACAAAGTACAATCTTCTAAATTCACATACCTTGTACAAACCTCTCCTAGTATCAATAGGACAACTTTGAATAACATTATCAACTACTTCAGGGAGAGGTGTTAAGAAATCTGATGATGCAATCTCGGGATTAAAAAATATTTCAGGTCCCAAAAAACGTTCAAATCCTACATCAACTTCATATGACTGTTAAACAATTTAAACAATTGAAAATTTTGTCAAAAATTATTCATAATATTAATTGAATTTCAAATATCTTCTACTCATATTTTACCTGTCCAGTCACACTGTGTATTCCTTGATATTTTTTAAAATATTTATCACCTTCGTGATCATATCTTTTAAACTCATTGACAATATCTGGGCAAACATATGAATATAATTCTTTAATTTTTTCTGCCACTTTCAATGAATCCTCTGGCGGAATGGAAGTTTCATTCCGATCACGAAGAAGTTGTTGAACGAAATACGTGATATCACGGCCTGCAATTGGAATATGTTTAATTGATGATCCAATTACATACCCTTCCGCCTTAATAGCAAGAAAATGTTTGAAAAAAGTTGATTTAATTATTTTAATATTTTTTTAAAAAAAAAAACTTTATAAGATTTTAAAAATCTTTTTATTACCACAGGAATAACGTGAGTAACACCATCGCCACTATCAACAACCGTACCAGTTAATACAAAATCCGATGTCCTGTTCGAAGCCCAGCTAGCTGCCAAAGCCAATACAGCTTGAACAGCAATGTAAAGTCCTTGAATATTAAAAGATTCAAACATTATTTCGGCCGTTTGTTCTCGATTTTCGGGTGCATTAAGTGGTGGTTCTGTCTAAAAAAGTTTATGAACAAAATTTTTAAGAATTATCAATTCAATTTTTTCACAAGAAAAGAAAAAATCCCACCAGGAGAAAATAATGATCTTCCGGTTCACATCTTAAGTACTTAAAAATGCTCTGTTCCCAAAACCTTTCCATTTGATCCCAATTATCAATTTGACCATGTCGAATGGGATAATGTAAACCGTATGTTTTTGAATTAGAAAGTGCTTCATTCCCGATAAAAAAATCTAGATCCTCAATACCACGTTTTGAAGCAAGGCTTCCCGAAGATTTTGCAGTCACCGAGCCACCAGATACACCAGTTCCAGACGAGTCCCGTGTTGCTATGACCGTGGGGAATACGAAAGAGGGGTTATTATTACCCGCGAAGCCAAGCTTCGTGTACCTTTTTCGTAAGGATTATTTCTAAAGTGACTTTTTGTTAAACATAATAATGAGATATATTTTGTATTTGGCTTACCCCGTTCCATTGTCCATAATAACTGGTGGTAATCTCATTGACATTTTTTTGTTGTTTGGTAAATTCGAAGGTTTCTTTAGTATAATTTGGTAATAACCTGATTGGACTACATAATTTATTGTATCCAAAAAAAGTATAATTTAAATTTATAGCAAATATTGGGTTTTTCAAAACTAATAAACTCACTTCACGCGTTTTGCATGTAAAAATCGACCCATACCAACAATAGAACAACACAAAAAAATGAGATGCTAAACTAAAGCTCCTCACAGGCCTGCAAGTTCTGCGAGCTCAGCAAGCAAGTTCAACTTGCAGACTTGCAAGTTTATACTTTTACTGTGGATCAATTTTATGCAACAGGAATGATTTTTACTAATACATTTCTAAGATCATTTAAAAGCTCTCCTCTTAAGTTTTGCAATAGTATTTAAATCATCTTTCTAGCATCAATATTTGTCAAGTTATTACTATCAGAAGACAATGCATGGATTTTTATATCTCATATCAACTTTTTACTATAATGTTTTTTAGTACTTTACATTTTTCAAAATTTCAAATCTCAAATTTATTAAATTACTATACTATAACAAAAGTGTTTGTCAAGTCACATTTTTGTTTTGATCAAGATTTCTAATTGTGATTAGTCCATCTTGAGATTAATAAAATATCTAGCGATTATTTTTTTTTAGAGTAGCCACACCACTGTTACTTGAGATATACATGTTATGTTACATAGTGTAATTCTTATTTAAAAAAATATCGGATTGTATTTTTTTATTTTTTATATTATTATATTGTTATTATTTAATGAAATACATTTGGATGGGATCTAGAAATATTTTCTAATCTTTGATATTCATCATAAATGCTGATCGATCAAGATGAGATATCTGAATATTATTCCAATTTGCTACTGAGGGCAACATATGCTTGTCCAGGTGAAAAAATACTTCCATCTAATGCAAGACATACTTTTGGTAAAGTAAGACCCTGTGATTTGTGTATAGTTGAGGCAAAGCAATTTTGCATAGGGAATTGAGTTCTTTGACAATTGCATCCATTAATCTCAAAATAATGTGTATGTTTATAAATTTGAATATCTATTATTGATCCTTTGACTGAGAATGCTACTCTAACAGATTGATCTGTAAGGTCAATATCTGTAATGATTCCTATTGTTCCATTACAAATTCCATGTTCTATTAAGGAATTGTTAAGGTACATAACATGTGCACCAGGTTGTAAGAAGGTAAATTTGTTTTAATTTAAAGATTTGTTCTGAATCATAAGTATCCCATAATAAAGGGTGGGGCTAAACCTATTTTTAAATTCCTAAACTTTTCGGAATTTTATCTTAGTCCTAAACCTTTTGCCTAAACCTCCTAAACTATCCTAAACTCCTAAACTGTCCTAAACCTCCTAAACTATCCTAAACTTTCTAAACTATCTTAAATCTTCTAAACTATTCTAAACTTCCTAAATTATTTTAAACTTTTTAAATTGTCTTAAACTTTTTAAACTGTTTTAAATTTTTAAATTTTTTAAATTATTCAAGTTTTAAATCATATTTAAATTAATCAAAATTTATTTAATTTTTTTAATAATATTTTAAAATAATTATTTAATATTGTAATATATATTTTATTAAATAAAAATATTAATTATAATATTATAAAAAATAAAAATCAAATATGTAATATTATTAATAATAAAAAAAATTTATAATTAATTATTATAAATAATTAGAAATAATAAAAAATATATATTATTAATCATCAAGATATCTATTTACAGCTTCATTGGGATTCCAATTTTCATATTCAATATTACTATTATTTTCATTATTTTCATTATTTTCAGTTATTACAATAAAATTATTATTATCAACATATACAAAAACATTATTTGTTTCAAATATCTTTGCATCTAAATTAACTAAATCTTCAATTTCAAGTCTATCTTCTTCTTCAAAATTAATATTTTCATAATTATCATTTTCATTAATATCATTTTCATTATTAAATAACTGTACATCATATATTATTTTTTGTAATTCTTCTGTTACTTTATTGTTACCATAATATGGTAATTCTTTTTTTATATTAGAAATATAAAATGCAATTAATTTTTGCATATTTTCAAGTTTATCTAAAGAAAGACTAGTTTTTCTTTTTCCATAATACCATCCAAGTCTTAACCAAATTCTTTCACATCCAGCAGCATAAGGAGTAATTGTAAAAAGTTTTATTGCAAGTTGACAAATATGATCTTCATTTTTAACAAAAAAATCTTCAATTGATATTCACCAAACTTGAGGAAGTTCATTATTAATAAAATAAATATCAAATGGAGCTAATCTTTTTCAATATAATATAATTGAAACATTAAAATATCTTATTCTTTTTTTGTTTTATCCATATTTTCATAAATATTATCTGCAAAAAATAATCTTTTATGAAAAATTCCATATGCAAATATTTGTTCTATAATTAAAATATAAATTAATAAATATATATTTAAAAAATATATTTAAATAATAAATAAATAAAATAAATTACAAACCATCATGATTAGGATATTAAAAAAAATACAATAAATAAATATTATTATTAAATTCATTAAATCGCTTGTTAAAAATTGCAATAGATTAATATTTAAATATTTTATGATCTAAATCTAATAGGTTTTTTAATGTAGAATCCAATTGAACCATTTCAATAAAACAATTAGAAAGAGTACAATATTTTGATTCCAAATTAATAATTGATTTTTTGATTGAATATAATACAAAAGATAATGCATATACATTATCAAAAAATACATAACTTCTTAAAATAGCAAGTATAGGTAATAAAAGTAAATTTATATGATCTTGTTTCATCTATTTTAATAAATATTAATTATAATATTGATAAATAAAAATAAATATTAATAATTAAAATAAATATATTAAATAATTTAAAAAATTTAAACAAATAATATATAAATAATAATTTAAAATTTAAATAATATTTACAATTCCCAAAGGAATTTTATGTCTTGAAATTGAAAAAATACAATCATATATAGTATATCAACGAGTTTCAACCTAATGTTTTAAACTACCTCCTTTAACTACTTTTTCATTTGCAATATCTTTAAGTATTTGACCTAAATAATTTAAATTATTTAAATAATTTATTTTTTAAATTTATAAATAACTATAAATTACTTATCAGCTCTATGACTACTTTTAAAATATGTTACTAAAGTATTACAATGTCTTAAAATTTTATTAGCAAATGGTGTTTTACAAATATCTTTGGAAATAAGATTTATTACATAAGCAATGCATCTTATATTTAATATTTGTTTGTATTTTGAAGTAATTATAGTACAAACTATTTGAATATTTGCTCTTACATCAGTAACAATTGTTATAAATTTTTTTGAACTAAAATAATCAATTATATATTTTATTTCTTTAATTAAAAGTTTTTTTGTATAATGTTCACTAGTTAAATTTCTAAGTGATCAAAGATATTCATAATGATTTGAAGTCCAAATAGATTCACCTGATAGATTTGTCTAACCATCACAAGCTAAATATATATTTATTGATAATATTTATTATTATTATTATATATATATATATATAAAAAAAAATAATATAATAACTTACATAAAGTTAAATTGTCTTGACTATTTATTTCTATAATAACTTTTTGATTTGTAATAGTTATTTCTTGAGCTAATAATTTATTAGAAAGAATTTTTTTTGAAGGAGGTGTATATACTGGATGTAATGTTTTAAGAAGTTTAATAAAAAAAAGATTCTCAATTATTTTTTATGATATTTTACATATTACAAAAGTTTTAATTAGTGCATGATTGATATCTTTAATTCTTTCATCAGTTAATTTTGTACTTTCAATAAAATTACTAACTTTTGTTTGTGATTGTTTTTCATTAAGTTTTCTTTTTTTATTTGATTTTTTTAAATTATATTTTAATATTTTTTTTAAAAATAAATCTCGAACTTCTGATTGTACTTTTGAACATAAGTTTGCTAAATGATTTTTACATTCTTCGAGTAATCCTTTATGCCAATATTTTTTGTAAAAATTACAAGTAGTATTATAATGACCTTTTAAAATCTGTTTTCCTTGTTTAATATAAATTCCCCATACTATAGATTTTAATCTATCTCCTTTATTTGTTTGAATTATTTCTTTTTGTTCATTTTACTCTGTTTATTCATTTTGCTCTGTTTGTTCATTTTGTTTTATTTGTTCTATTTGTTCTTCTTACTTAATTAATTCTTCTTGCTCAATTTGTTCTTGTTTCTCATATATGATAATTTTTTTAAACTATTTATTAAAAAAATTCTTAACGTATATTTGTTTGTCAAAAAAATTAAAAAAAATTCTTAATATTTGTCAAATTATAATAGTTACAAAGATTACATTATCTTAAATAATATAGTATAATTATCAATTTTTATTAGCATATTTTTATAAAAAATAAATTTAAAGTTATTATTACATAAAATAAAAATTATTTTTAATAAAATTTAAGATTATATAATTAAAATTAATATTATTTTCAAGATTACAATTATAAAATGGTAATAAAAGAAGTATATTATTTATTTTTATTTAAAAAAAAGATAAAAAAATAAAAAAAAACCTATTACTACATTCACACAAGTTTACAAATCCAATTTTCACCTCATAAACTTAATTTCAGAGAAAGAAGAAGAAAAATAATAGGAAAAAGTAAAGTAAATATATTTTTATAAATAAAAAAATAAAATCATAAATCTAATTTTCACCTTTACAAGTGTCCTCACAGCTTAATTATAGAGAAAGATAATAAGAAAAGAAAAAAATAAGTATATTTTTTTATTTTTATTTAAAAAAAAAATAAAATAAAATAAAAAAAAACTTACTGTTATGTTTGTGTAAACTTCCAAAAAAAAAAACTCTTCCCATCAATCACTTGTATCAAATATTTTCACAGTAGAGAAATACGATTTTTTACTGTAGTTACATATAAAACTTAATTATTTTTCTATCTTTTTTACGTGTATGGATAAGAAAAAGCATAAATACAATACCAGAAGTGTTTCTGGTCAACAAGATGATAACAACAATCAAGAAAATGATGAAAATATGAATTTTATTCTTACGGCTAGTTATACGTGTTGCCCAAATCCCAAATTACTAGTATTTGGAATTTGGGATTTGGGATTTTGGCAAAAAATACTAATCATAATTTGGGATTTGGGATTTGGGATTTTGGCATTTGGGATTTCGGCATTTGGATTTTGAATTTGGGTGGCAGGTATACTGTGTATATGGGGATATGATTATGTAGACAGGCTTTATGTGATGCTGTTTGACTGTTATTGCGTTTAGTTCGTTTAATTACTTTGTTTGCGCTTTGTATTATATTAAATTTGATTTGTTGCCATTGAGCATATGTAGAGTTTGTTGTTGTGATTGTTTTATTAGATAATTCTTTGACGAATTTGTTCCAATTTTCTTTTTGAGTTGTATTAAGATTGTATCTATACTGAGTTTTTTGTTTATATATGTTTGAGGATAGTGGTTTACGAAATGTGTCAAGTAATATTACTCTGACACAGTAATTGTCTGTTGCAATCTCTTCTTCGGTATCTATAATATCTGCATTATACTTGCACGCAAAATTATTTTGGGATCCTGAAATTGCAATTTCAGAGAAAAAAGTTAAAATAGTTTTTCATAAAAGACGAAATTATTTTACTTAAAATCCAAAATTTTTTGATCACCCAGATTTATTCTTTGATTAAAGATACATATAACTAGGTACTTTTTTTACTTCCATATATAGAATATATTTTACATAAATTTCAAAAAGTCGAAATACCTCAAAAATCTAAAATCAATTTTGGGAATATGTATAATCTGTATCAATTAGTATATTAACTGTTTTGGGTAATAACTAGATTTGATCTATTCTTGATTTGGATTCATTTCGAGTTCATGTGAATTGTAACGTGTTTATCATGTCCTCTGTATTTGTTTCCAGTTTAATATTTTGTATTGTACAAAATGTGTCTATGTAGTTTTTGTTTATAAGGTATTTGAGTAGGGGACCTTCCATTTTGTTTGGTCTGTATTTAGATGTTGCAGATCTGTCTATAATTGGATCATTTACACTGTTGAAATCTCCTAAAATTATGATTCTATTAGTGTCAGTCGAGTTAAACCTTTTTGTTGTTGTCTTGATCCATTCCATCAATCTTGTACGCAATACTAAGTTAACTAGTCTGCTTGCTGGTAGGAAGTATATTGTTATGATTTTTACTTTGATTTTCTATTTAAATATTATGTCTAATGTTATCACATAGTTTTTAAATGTCTAGACTGAAGTTATATGTTTGTTGAGTTATTTTTCCACCATAATTTCTACTCCATGATTGTATGTTTTTGAACCTTTTGTCCAGTAGTATATGAATTCTTTGTTATTAGGATTCTGGTTAAGGTTATTTTTTAGTATGTGAAATTGGTTGTATGGGGAATGTCGAGTTTTTGTTAGGCCTAGTATATCAAATTGATAATTATTTGCAAAATCTATTATTTGTTGTTGAGTTATTATATTGTTTAAGCCTTGCACATTTAATGTTCCAATTTGTATAAATTTTTGAGAGTTAGGATTTTGTATTTCTGACAGTTCTGATCTCGATGTAAGAGAATTATCATTTGTTTCTGAAATGTCTGTGTTAGAATCTAATATATCAGTTATAGAAGGGAGTGTATTAATTTAATTATTAAATATAAATTCTTCTATTTTTTGATTCCGTTTAATGGAATTATTGACTTCATTTTCTTCTATTGAATTGTTTGTAATTTCAGAAAAAAGAGAGGTAAGTGAAAGGTCTTGATCAAAATTCCAGATATTGTTGTTTTTATCATCATCATTGTTGTAATTGTGGTCCATTATTGAGGTTTGTGGTGATGTATAAGTTGGACCATAGCTTCCTTTATTAGATTCTTTATATTTTCGTAATAATTTATTGGTGGTATAATGATTTAATGTCTTAATTTTGTTTTTATTTTTTGTATTTTTATTAAATAAATGACTGTGGTCAGAATTTTGATTATTATTTGTTTTTTGTTTGTATTTTGTATTTCGCTTATAAAGCGAATTGGTTTTCAGAAAAAACCATTGTGTATTTATTAGTATCTTGTTGGATACGAAAAAACTCTTTTGGAAATTGTGCAAAGTTATAGTATTGGTGAAGTATTTTGATAGTTTCGTTAATTTTTTTTTTATCTGTTATTGGAAGTATTACTGTTTGTTTTGTTTTGTTTGTTAAGTCAATAATTACTTTATCAACTGAGGGGAGTTCATCTTGTAAAGTGTATTTGGCTAAAATCCAATCTTCTGGAAGTCTGTCGAACTTGTAATGCAGCCTTAATTATTTGACTGTTTGTATTATTTGAGTTCTGTTAATTGGTAAATTGATATTAGCTATTCTATTAGCTGTGTTCATATCTGTAGGAAGAGGAGGTCTGTTATCTGCTTCTAAACCAATCCATTCTTTAAAGAGTTTATTAGTTATAAATGTATATTTTTTCTTCAGTGTTTCTGTTAAGAATTTTATATTTTCTTTTTTGGTAATTGGCAAAGTGATATTCTTTGGGAGGTCTAATGTGTCTATGTGTTTAGGGTGTTCTGATGATTCAATGTAGTTGAAGAAGTATGAGTCTGGTAGTTTTTCATTGATCCTATATTCTTTTCTCAATGTGCTTAGAATGCGTAAAACAAGATATCGTCTGAGACTGTTGCTTTGTTCCAGGGAAGATATTTTCTAATGTCTTCTTTCACGTTGTTGTAGTCTTGTGGTAGTTCTGACTTTTTCTTTATTTGTATATAGGTTTCTAGAAGTTTTATAGGTAAGGTGTAGAATTTTTGTAATTCTTGTTTATATTCATAGATTTCTCTCATCTGCTCTTTAGTTTGTATTGGCAGTTTTGTTTTATATAAGAGTTCATCTTTTAGGTTAATGAAGTTTTGTAGTAATGGTTCTTTTGGACAATAGTATTCAATTGGCAGTAAGCCAAAGTCATATCATTTGTGCAATACTTGTAATACTTCCGTTAAGTGTGTGTTGTTTCGGAGTGAAAAGTTTAGTTTTGAAAGTTCTGCTATTATTTCTTTATGCAAGTTAGTAGGGTCTTCGGGTAAGGGATGTTTAGCTGATTTGAATTTATAGAAGTGTTTCACATATTGTCTGGTAAATTGATTATAATTAAATTCTATACTGTTAGGTCTTTTGTATGGTGATAGGGTGAAATTGATTATGTATATTATGAGTTGAGCCATGTCTCTTCCTCCCCAATTTTTTGAGAAATCTATACTGTGTAAATAGCATTATATAATTTTCATTCTCAAGTGATCTCGTAATTTATTATGAAGTTGGGGGGAGAGAGTTTCTTCATTATTAATGCTGTTTTTGTTTTTGAATTGTGTAATTTTTTTTTCTAATAATATCAACCATTCTTTTATATGGTCTGGAGTATCTTCTAAGTTGTTTGGTGGTTTATGAAATATAGCTTTGTCTTTGTTATATTGCGAAAGAAAATTCTTTAATGCTTCTTTTTCAAAGGGAATCACACTTCTTTCAGAGTTTGTTAAGTAGTTTAACAGTATTAAAACATTTCTGGGTTTAGTCAAATATTGTGTATAATTGTTTATTGTGATTGGTGATAAGTTGTGAATAGAATTTTCTAGGTCATTTTCTGGATTTAGATTTTGTGTATTATTGGTTATCATATCTGGAAATCTTTGTCTTGTTATTGGTATTGTATTTGTGTTAGTTGCATGTTTGTTTTGTATTTCTTGCATATTAAACCAGTTTTGTGTTTCATAGTCATATTGCGTAATTGGTGTTCTTTGTTTATCAGTTGAATTATCTGCCTGTTGATCATTTTTAGGGGGTGAGAGAGTTATGCATTTTTTTGGAGGTGTCAGAGAGTTTTCGCAAGAAGAATTAGAAGAAGTGTTTAATAAAATATAATTTGTATTTTCTAAAATAACCATTTCTTCTATTGAATTAATAGCATTGATATATAGTTCTTGGTTTTCTTGGTTAAGTGTTATGTTGTTCATACTATTTATCATTTGCTTTATTCTTTTTTGTTGTAGGTAAGAAGAAATAGTGTTAAAGGTTTGAGCTACAGCTATAAATTTTTTTGTGTTATAAGAGATATTAATACTGTTAAAGGT